AGCGTACACGATAAACAACCCGGTAACAGTCGCCGTTCTTTTTGCGCTTCATCATGACATTCGTGGTAGAAAGGACGATAGATGGCAAGCGCAAAGGCGACTGCTGTCTGGCTGTTCATTACACGCCGTGCTGTTGTTGCAAGCGTGAAGTGCACGAAGCTGGTGTAGCCTAGCCTAGCCTAGCCTAGCCCCGACAAGGGACAGCGCGCGGGAGCTTGCTGATTGGCTCTTCGGAAGCCCACTTTCTCCGCGGGCCACACTGATATTATACCTTCATTTTAAGGTGAGGGGCCACAAAATATTGTACTGCGGGCCGCACTTGGCCCCCGGGCCGCGAGTCTGAGACCCCTGTTTTAGACTGTGCAAGATGAAGGACGTCTCAGCGACCGTGTAATACGCACGTTTGACCGCCAGAGGGAGATGAAGATTTCGTTTGTAGTATTCGAGAGCTACTAGAACAAGGTCAGTGTCATGTAGCATAAAACAACAGTATTGAAATGGGATCAAACACCAACTATATAAACATTTTAAATGCAATAGAAAAAAATGACCAAAAAAAGAGGAAAAAAAAAAACTTCCTTTTACTATTGGGCTGTTTGTGATTTGATCTGTCATGTTCTCAGGCAGGTTTCACTGCTTTTTCCTACAGCTGGTTACTGACAAAGTCAGGACAGCAGGGGAGGACAGAGTGACCCTCCAGAGAGGGGGGTGAGGGTGGTTGTTTCCACTGGGTTCACTGAAGTGTTGTAGGGTTTGCCTCAGGGTAAGCCTCTTGTGTGAGTAAACACCATCAGAGTCCAGCAGTGAGACACGCTCCCTGGGTCGGGGAATTTTCTGCTAAGCCGGAACAATGTCTGACACTGTTGTGATGATTGAATTTTACAGGCCGGCCCGACTCGATTCCACTGTCTGTCAGTGTTTTATGATGTCCCATGCTGTGATGATTAATGCGCTCTGAAATGTGCACAGGCCCTCCTTTGTTTGCGGCATGATGAGGCAATACTCTGTTTTTATCACAAATTATAGAAAACTTTACGAGCCTCTCAGACCACAGATGTATGTACGGTTCGTTGCATTACTCACCAAACACACCGCATAAGTTTTTAGGCAGGCCTGAATCGGGCACGTCAGACGCCCTGCTCCTGGAGACAATGACATGTCATGTAAGTCAGCTCCTCTCAACTCTCGAATTTGACTTTGGCAGCAGTCTTTCACTTTGAGTGACAGATGAGCGGGAGATACGGCTCCATCAAAAAGTGCAGCCTGACAGTTTGATTTGACAAGCCTTTTCAAAGCAGATATACTCCTTGTTCCTGGTAGTATATCATCTTGACATGAAGGAAAGTGGTAAAGGAAAAAAAAGGAAGAAGAAGAAGACAAAATGGAGATGTCAATACAATAGTAGCAGAAACATGTGTGCGAATTTTAAAAGGACTTTCAACACCACAACAGTTAACAAAATGTAAATATGTAGTAAATTTGATTGCATGATAAAACATGTATTTTTATAAAAGCTTTGAACTAAAAAATAAGTCAAAGATAATTATAAACATTATTAGCTTATATTAGCCTTGAAGTATATGAACAGCTTATCATAATTGATTACCAAGAAATAAACATTAGCCTTAAATTGCTAAAGATAGCACAGTTTGCATTTTTGCTAAATATATATATTTCTCATACATAATAACCTGTAGGAAAATAACTTAATAAAATAAAAATATAGTTTATAGACATATATATATAGTTTATTCCATATGTGCTAAAACATTAAATATAATATATGATATTTTACTTTTTTTTATTTATTATATATTTATTTATTTATTATATATAAATATATTTTTTGAATTTCTGAGGTCCATAAACCCTAATTTTCTTTTTTAATTTTGATTTACGCCTTCAGTCAGTGACACTTCTTATATTATTATTATTATTATTATTATTATAGTGCTTCATTTTAACGTACAGTTCCAGTCAATCTCAGACCCTGACCCTGTGGGTAAATATGACCCATTAATGACCATTTAACAACATCTTTGATCAATTATTAATGAGTTTGAAGTGTTTTGTACCATTAGTGGAGAGTTGTGATAGAGTCACTTCCTAGTCTTGTACTTGGTGCTGTTGTTGCTCCACTGTCTAGCTCCTCATCATGGTGATATGCCCTGCATCCTGCTCCACCATTTAGCTAATAAAATGCACAGGCCTAAATGATTCATGGCGACCATTTACATAATTCATAATTAAATCATAACCCGATGGCTCGGAATTTATTAACAGTGAAAATGCGCGTGCTGCTATCGTGCTATACTAATTAATATCCTCAGTTATCGTTGACACATTGCTCACTGGGCTGGGGTCTGGTTATAGGGCAGGAATAATGCAGCGCAACAACAAATCATCTGTGCGTACGAGTAGGAATATCTGGGAGTGATGGCTACAATATGCATTTGCCTTAAGAACTTAATGGAAGAATCAGTTTAATCAGGGATGTCACATGTTCTGGCTAATCATTTTGAACACTGTTAAGATAAGGACTAATTCATGTCCCTCGGTTAGCCGCAGCGTGCGGCTGCAGGGCGTCTGTGATCGTGCTGTGCACTGTTCCCACCCTGCACAAAAACATATGCCCCGCACACTCTCAGTAACATGCAGTGTCTGGGAACAAAGGAAGCTGCACTTGAAAAACCTATGATTAATGGGAAGTAGAATTGTTTTGTTTTTTTAAAAAAAATGTCGTTATTTGCTTGATTTGCTGTAGTAAGAAAGTGGAAATAGTACAATGACTGTCTTATTTGAATGTGTGCCGTACCAATGTGTGGAGTTTGACAGAAGAAATGGCCATTTACAATAAGCTAAAGTCCATCCACAGTCACTGTGTTTTTGTGCTACAGTTGTCGTCATTTGTCGACGTAGACGAGGCGCCATGTAGGCTGTTGTCTTTTTCCAACTTGTGGCGTTCTCTTGTTGTAAACAACGACTACAAATACTGTCTTGACATACTGTGAAGAGTACTCACAGATGTACTATGTGCATATACCAAAAACAAAGAGTCTGGGAATAAAGCAGTATAATTATAGGAGCTTCATTGTTTACGATGTTGTCGACCTATGGCATTTCACTGTTACATTGCCACGCCCCCTACATATAAATGTATGAAGAAAGTCACTTTTAGTATTTGTTAATGATACACAAATTCAATAACATTAATACTTCTCTGCAGACATTTTTATAAGAATATTTTTCCCCAAAAAACTATACTAGTTCTGGCATTTGGAAAGAAATAAAACTTCTCTGTGGCTCATTATAGGAAAACATAACTGACAGAGTCACTGTACATCCAAAGAAAGATACTTGGTGAGCAAACGTCAGTACCTCGTGACTTTAGACCAACAGTAAACAGACAAAAAAAAGAGTTGTTGATGATACTGTACTCTTTTCCAAAACACACACAGGTCAGGCTAATGAACCCATGTCACCAGGCTCCTCTCCCCTCTGTTTCAACAGTTAATTCAGAGCTGAACGTCCACCAACTCTCCGCAGCAGTGGACAAACAAAGGGGGGCTCTTCACTAATGGTCCCTGAGGCTTGGCCACTATCTATTGATCTGCTGTCACCCAATTTCTCTGTGACTTATGCCCTGTTTAATTCCTATTACTGTGCACACTGAAGCCTTATCAGGAAGAACAATAGGCTTGTTGTCACTGAGGGCAAAAATATGAGCGGACCTGTGACAGTGTGAGCACAAACTCATGACTTCAGCTGCCGTAGCCCTCTCTGTGACCTCGAACGCTCATCAGGGCTGGTTTGAATGTGACGCCTTCTAATACTCAACTAAGTCCAGGGCGCTTGCAGATGAATCAGAAAATTGGATCTAGCTTCTTTCATAAAAATGACCCCCCTCAAAAAAAACACACCCCAAAACAGCGGGCTAGGTCCGTAGCCATAAAGCTGTCTATATGATATGTCTCTACGCTGATGACTCTCTGTTTCTGCATGCCCCCTCCTCAGCCCCGCCACTGGCTGCTATCTCTTCCGTTCAATTATGTGTTTCCCTGCTCTTTTAGACAAAGAGTAATAAAGCTATAAATTGTGTATGCAGCAGAAGGTATGGACATTCTGCCTCTGAACTGCTGTTGAGACTACCATAAACCACCCACAAAGTCAAAGATAAGGATTTACAGTTATTTAACATGGTCGGCGGCCCCTAAATCACCCTGATAAGAGAATTAAGTGATGACTGTAGGTTCTTTGTCCTCTAGCTATTGATTTTTTTTTACAGAGAAGACCAGTGCAATGTTTTTATTGAGCATCCTATTTGCTTGAAGCTCAAGAGTGAAAATGGAGCAATTTGGATTTCTTTATTGAACAGCAGATCCTGCGTTCTAAATTAATTGATCTGATACTAAGGCCTCCTTCTACTTTACTTTCCCGTCACTGTGAAGGTTTTTTTTTTTTAACAATACAGTGTTAATGGAAATACACGGTATTGTAGTGAGAATGACTGAAGCTGCGTATATGTTTATGTGTAAGGACAATACAGTCTTTATAGGCACAAGGACTGAGCAGATTTGATGAAATGATTGTTCTGTTTTGGCCTCTCCAGACAAAACACATGACTTGACTTTCAGCAAGACATTCCTCTTTAATAGCAATTAATATCAAAAGCAGCACAGACTGTGCTTGTTAAAGCCGTCATTGTCTCACCGACCCCGGAGTGTACGTCCCTCTTAGCGCATAATGGCCCAGTTAGAACAAAGACGTGTGAAGCTCAGTGGAAGTTCGTCACTCATTTCAGCATGAAAACACTTCTGTCAGTGCCTTCCAGTCGTAGGAGCTGCGGTCGCTCACATTTAATGATTCATTTGCTTGTTTAGCTCCGAGTTCGTGACCCCGAAGCTATGATAAATGTCAAGCGCAACAATATCTTGCTAACTAGACACGCCACCGCCAACCAATCATTGTGTTATCGACTGGGATGGCATTAGGCGCTGTAATCTGATGCTACATGCTGCGTTAAAGTATCTGTGCGACCGTGTGGGTCAGGGTTCCACTTTGGTCCTTGGGCCTCTGAGCACCAGAGTTCCTGCAGGAAACCGCAGGACAGTCGTTGTCTGATGCTATTGGATTTTTATCTCTTTTTAATCCATACTAGATGTTCTAGGACTTTACACTGGGAATCTAGTTCACTGTTTGTATGACTAACGTTTTGAATGGACTCATTCTGTCTTTCAGTGAAACCTGTGCATTTTCTTAGTTTGGACTTAATCGCTCCAGACGTCTCACTTTGGTCTGTTTATTATTAGAAGCAGGAAAAGATGAAATTTCATCTGTTGGGTCTTTTGGACGGTGCCACACACAACTGTTTGTGTTCTGTCTGTCATTAACCAACAATATATTTATCTGGGCGGTAAATACATTGTTGGTGCAGCTGTTGAGGAAATGAGCTTGTTGTTTTGGTTTGAGAATGGGGAAAACTGTCAGTCTTGCACCGGAGCGTTCTCTGTCTTCTTATGTGGATTTCATTCAGATCTGTTTCTTTTACGTCCAGGTTGTTGGACATAAAAGTACGTTGTTGTCGCTCAGATCTACGAGGTTAGATTTTACTTCCTGTACAACTCGGCATCCTCTCTGACCGTCCCATTCCTGCGATGGGAGGTATTTACGATGGTGTCACAGAGCGCTAAAGGCCACCTCTCTAAGTATAACCCAGCTGGGTTCTATTTTGGCGGAGCGTCTTTCCACTTTCTACACAGACCTCCCAGTTTGTTAGCATTCGTGTAATTCTGCCGGAGAGGCGTTCAACAGGAGCCACCGCTGACACCAGTTCTTGGGCTCTCATTGAAATATCTGTCTCCACACAGTCACATGGAAGGGATTATTGGACCAACATGTGACCAAAGTCAGGTTTACTGTAAACTAATTATCGTTTTGCCCGATCCACGGTACAATGCCGTCCTTTAGTAGTTGTTCATCATGTTTACAGGCAGGACGGGACAGCGTCTCGGGCTCGAAGCGGTTTTTCAACTGATCGACATTTGTTTGCAATAAAAAGTAAGAGTAGCAGCAATCCACCTGTGAGGCAGTAAAAAAGCCGGCGGGCTATAAACATGGATGTAAACAGTGCAGGAACACAAACAAACACAAGAGCAGAACACACAGTGCAGGTACGGACACCTGCTGTTGCTCAGCTACATCTGCACGTAGGCCACTGCTGTACACTGTACATGTATGTGCCCTGTGTTGCAAATGAAGTATAATTATTCCATGTCATAGTCAGGGAGTCAATGAAGGTGTTTTTCAAATGACCGTAGCTTCTGGTCGCGCTCCCCCTCATTAGCAAACCGTGGTAACAAAAGACTTGCGGAATAGCCTTAAACATAACATATAAATGCAGCTGAGGGGGAATTATGCCCAAATGTAAAAGTCCCAAATAAACCAGATTGAAAATTCTCCGGGGCATCTTCACAACTTTGCCGTCGTCATCAATCAAGAATATTGCCACGCTAGTCCATACAGGACTCGGACAAAATGCTTCTTTAAGCATTTCTCCGGGACGCATAAAAGTGTATTTATGGTCACCACAGGCAGGTGTAAAGGAAGATTGGCAAACATGAAAATAAAGTCCTCTCCCGGGTGCCGTTGAGCCACGCTGAGCTGCGTTAAATCATGGATGGAAAGAACAACAGTCTGGTGGGACAACAGTCCTGCCTGACAAAGCACCGCTGTGGGCCCACACTTTACATCCTCTCCAAAGCCCATTATTGGAGTCAATGTTTTGTCTTCATACCTGTTTTCAGCTCTGTAATGAACTTCATACGTCTTCTTCTGCCCGCTTTAATGTAAACTACATTTTTTTTTATTGGATATTACCTAGTGCCAAGATTTAGAGCTGCAGAAGACCCGGGTTCTGCACTTAGCTGATGTGGGATTGATTTCCTTTACAAATATATGAATCACCGTGGTCATTACTGAGCCAGACTCTTTCATTAAATTGAGCAATATCTCCCCTTTCAACACTCCACCAAGGCTACGGCGTACAGTGTACACCGACAGGCTAACGCAGGACTGTGACCCTCCGGGCTGACTTACTGATGTCGTTTAATCATTTGATGGAAGGTGTGAGTGAGTGAGTGAGGAGGTGATGGGCGTGTGCTCCTGTATATACACATAAATGGCTCATGTATTAGAAAAAACACAGAGGTAAGTAATGATAAGCATGACTGGTGGGGGGCCCGACCAAGAGTGTGCTCTCTACAAGCCAGATTATATACGTTTATGTTTCCGAAAACCTCTTTAATTGGACAGCCCCAGATGGATCACTGCACCACACGCACACACACACGCACACGGCAAGCACTATTGACTTTTCAAATAAAAAGACATTAATGTAGATAACAGCCATTTTGAATCCTCATTAGTCACTGGTAATCTAGAAACATGGGCCATATATTAAGAGTGGTGTTCACGGCTAGTCATTAAAGGAGAAATAAAAGACAAAATAAATCCAATCCTGGAATGCCTGCGATTAATCACGCGGGCCACCGCTGGCTGGCTGGCTGCTTAACAGTTTTATTGACTCATTTATGCTGCTTTCCCTGATAATCCATTTATTCTGAATAATGCCTGCCTTCATGCTCAAAGTGCTGTGTTCAGGTGATACTGCTATGAAGCCCCGCCGTCCCCTTCCTCCCCCTAGACAAACATATATTACAGTGATTATGTGCAATGGCTGACAGGAGAAAGGCCACAAATGCATATTATGCAGCGAAGCTTTTAATGAAAGTGTTAATTAAGTATATTTTCAGTTCTTCCTTAAGGGGACCACGAACTCCGATAGCACCATGAATAATTTACCGCCAAGTGGCTAATGAGAGTCATTTCATTGTCATTTTTGCGGCAGAGAATGGCCAAACAAGAGCAGCAGCATATGCACCAGGACTCACCTGTGTCCCCGGAAGACCACGAAGGACTGCACACGGGGGTACGTCATATAAGACAATGGAGCAATAAGCAATGATTAGAGATGCTGCCGTCGATTACCTGGCTCTAAACTTGGGCAGCTGTTTGTTGGATTGAGTTGATTTATTATTGTCTCCGCCCAATAAGTGACTTTGACTAGAACTGTCAGTACAAAAAAGACTTTTTTTACGTGATTCATCATTACATCACAACTTGTTAACATGAGTGATTTGTTTTTTTGTGACAGGTCTAACTCCAACCACCGGGACGGGGACCAATGCTGGGCCGTGGATCATCGGGTACCAGGTAGTCAGTTAGATTTTATTATTATTTTTATTGAATTATTTTGTATTTTTCGTTTGTCTTTGAAAAACCCTCTTTTCTATTAGCCAGATAAGACGGTTCTAATGATAGGACAGCAGAAGGCGCCAAATCTAACATCCAAAAAGGCTGCATTTAATTAAAAATACCAACTGTTCTAAACAGAAAGTGCATAATATAAAATAATATTTACATTGTATATGTCATGATTTAAATATATGTGACCATGACCATGTACTGTAGGAATGAAGTCATTGTGTCATACAGTTACACACAGCTACACACATTTCATCAGTACCTCAACATATAATATATGTATATTTAAAAAGCTTAGCAAAATTAAAATTTGTTTTTTTTTTCAAACACAGGGAGAAAAGAAAGGACAAGGATTATCCATGGAAAGAACATCACAGCTGCTACCTTTCAAGTCACTGGTGAGTGCTCTGTTTCCGTTCAGTGTTACTGGATGTGTGGTTGTATTTATATACACGTAGTAATGAGGATTCTAAGAGTTCTGGGCAGAGTCTCTGGAGGCTTTCCTAACCAGGTCCTGACTAAAAGCCCCAAGCCTATCAAGTATCCCAGTGCTAGCACCTGACGTTATGGTTCTGCTGGGAGTTTCTGCTGTCACAATAAATCACACGCGAACAGGATATAGTGTAATCACGCCGGCGTCCTGTTTCACTCCACTTGCTGTCGAGCACTTCAGCAAGATGGAAGCCGCACATGGCGACGCAGGCCGCCGCAGCGGCACACGTAGCTTTGACTCACTGTGCTTGATGGTTGACTTGAGAGGAATAATCCATTTGGGATAACACACAAAGAACTGTTGATGATGGCTGCTGTTGCACACAATGATGTACTGTGTTACCAGAACTTTCCTTTCCCTCTTAAACGGCCCTCGCTTTGATAGTAGACGCTAGACGTGAGATGCATTTGAGGGGAAAATAACCAGAGAGGATCTGTTTTATGTCTTCACATGTACCTCGCTCCCCCAGAGATGAGACATTAAAGAGGTGTGACGGTGTCGCTGATGTATCCTATCCCTCAAAACCAAAGTAAACCGAGACGTCTGAACTTTCATCGCAGGCACACACGCTGCGCGCTCGCACCCCAGCCTCCTCCTCCAGCCTCCATAAAGATAAATCACAGTGTCTAATTCTCACAAATTACCCAAACATTATGTAGCACTCTCATTTCCAGCACTGTTTAATCTGCGTCGGGAGTATTTGCTGTCACTTCTCGCTGCAAACACTCTTGGCACTTCATTGTCTTCTGATGGGTCATAAAAGGCAGGCTTTGATGGATGCTAACTCGGGGCGTCTCTCTTTGTTGTGGGATGTGACGACCCAGTGCATGTGAGATGTGAGGTGAAGACGCAGCGTGAATGGGAGATGTCATGGATGTCTGCCGCTGACACCCAGGCCCTGAGCACCGGCTTTGATCTCTGCCAATGATCTCTCCAAAGCAAACACAAATAAAGGATTCTAGTGTTGTACAGTTTCCAGGGAGAAATTTCTCAGGTTCTCCCGAGTGGTACTGTTTTTAAAGAAGTACGTGTAGCTGCCGATCAAGGAGCCGTAGAGTAGAGGTCAGGAAATGACTAAGGTGACGCCTTCTTTTACCCCAGTCTCCAACTATGATTTGTCCAAACAGAACATGTCTAATGTCACTGCCTTCTGATCCAGTCACATAAATACAGCACTGAGTCTTGGACCTCCTGCTGAGCTCATAAGAATCGGCCTGGTAATATATTAGCTGTGAGGCCGGGGCAGGTGTTTACAGCTGCAGCCAGAGAACATGAGAAACAGATTGCACCCCTGGTTCGTGCACTTGAATGAAAATGAGTCATCCCCAAGCTTTCCTCGGGAAGGGAGGGGGAACACAAATAATCCTTTAGAACAGAGGGCAGGTGGGAGCATTTCACAGGTCTGCTCCAAGGTGGCAGCAAAACTAGAGATATAATTGACTGCAGCTCGCATAAGGAATCCATTGTAAGGTAAAGTTTCCTCAGAGATATATTAACAGTGCACGTATAAATCACTTTTATTAAAAGCAAAGCTGACTTTGGGAAATAAACTGCCTTGCTGTCGTGCAGCTCCACGTCTCCACACGGGACCCATTGCAGATCTTTGATGTTTATGCTGAAGAGTGGAATGTGCTTCCATGTTTTTAATAAAAAAAAAAAAAGGCTATAATTAGGATGTATGACGGCACACGTACCGACGTGTACCTGCCATAAACTGTGTTTATTATCACTGAGAGCAATTAAATATGTTTTAGAGCCGTGGATCATCAGGAGGCGCAGGGACAGAGACGGAGCTGGAGATGGAGGCAAATGCAGGACGTGTTTAGCTTGTACTGAACAGCTGCTCGTTTTGTTTTAGTCCCCGAGGTTTTCCTTCCTGATCTTGTGTGGAGACGTACGGCGTAAAAGTTTTATTGTGCTGTTTAAAATATTGTACAACACTGCTCGTATTAATTCAGCCCTTTCAAAGAGCCACATTGTTCTGCTCCACAGGCAGTACATAGGACGTGGACGTATAGCAGTGTTTCCGCTCAGACTTTTTTAAAGCAGTGGCAGCAGGTGAACCCTGGTCCTCCCCACTCCTCACCCCAGCTGTTCCCTCACCTCCGTGTGACTTTAGATGATTTTGTCTTGTTTGTGACTATAGAGAAAGCAGCATGGAAAATATTTTTTTTCCAAAATTAATATATGCCACTTTCAGTGAGTAAAAGAAATCTGCAGTGGGAACTCACTTTTCTGTTGAAGTCGGTTTTGTTTTGGAAACGGGGAGAAGCTGCTGTTTAGCCAATATCATTATGTGCATATACATGTTGACATTTCAAAATCCGAGTTTGCTCTGCAACAGAAACAAATACATGTGTAGAAATAACAAATTGACATAATCTGAGAAGAGGAATCTCATTTAAAAGATGACTACATTTTAAATAGCCTGTTTTGGAAGAAGCCAAGCCTTTGGGTCCAGTTGCTGTCGGTACTACGGCCCCTCAAACATCTGTCCAAATGTTGGCTCGACGAGTCTTAAATCTCAAGGCCTCGCAACTGAAACTTGTTTTGCAACGAGACGGCCATATCCGTTTTCTACTTTTCTTTCTACTGCGAATAGATGACCGTGTTATTCCACGGAATACAGAATGATGTCATCCAGAAGAGTAAATGGATATAATAGTGAGCTACAGAGTTGCACTTTATGTCCCTCAGTCTTTACATTCTTTTTGAACGCTGTAGTTCATTATCCAGCACAGACAACAACGTCCTGCCGTTACAGAAATCCACAAGTGCACTAAATCTGCAGCGAACGTTCCCCGACAAATGTTCCGTTTACACTAAATAGCAGTTGGTGGAGACTATACCCCCACCCCCACCCCCTGGTGCCCCTGCTGTGTGGGAAAATACATTGACTTTTAAAAATATAAGAGCATATATTCTCTGCCAATTTTGATACTGATTTATGGTTCCAGGATAGGCAGCGAGGGACCACGCTGGACCAAAGTGCTACAAAGTGAAACTGAAGAACAGACTGTTGTGTTTCATTTCACCTCATGTAAAAAAACAACAAAAAACGAAATTATATTAAATTTATTCAGATTAAGCCAAGCCAAGATAAATCTCTGCATTATTTAAAAAAAAAAATCACTAATTAATTAAAATTTTTAAAACAGTAAAATATTTAGGAAATTAGCTTCCTAGCTGTGCGTTTTACTGAAACCACAGTTGAGCCGTAAATGAGTCCTACAGCTCATAACCTCGGCACAAATCTGTGCCATATTCGAACAATATCAAATAGTTGACCACGGTCATTAATTTCCTTGAACAATGTGTCGGCCTTTTTTCCCTCTCTTTTAGTCTCTTGTATCATTTTCTTTAATACAAGCCCAGCTTTATGTCGTACACGGCAATCTTCAGCCATCTGGTTTTCATTTCCTGTGAAGTTCTCGGTGGAAGGAGAGCCTAAAAAAAAGAAGCCTGGTTTGAACCGGGGGCTAATGCAGTCAGGATGGAATCTGTCACTCAGTCTATTGCATGTTGATGACTAAGGGCACTTTCAGCTGTAAGCAGTCCATGATTTATGGACACTGAGTGAACTCCTGTAAGCAAACGCCAACTCGGAGTTCACAGCAGCAATTGGGCCCTTTTTTTTTTTTGGGCTGAAGCCCGCCTGCATTTTCTTTCCATTCATGCCAAAGCGTTTCGCACGGCAATTAGCTCCATCCTCATTTGGGTCTGCAGTCCCACAGGGTTAGAGAAGCCATTTATCATCCTCGGGGCTTGGAGCTGCTCAGCTCCGTCTCAGGTAGTTTCTGTAAACAGTCATCGTCCAGGGCTCCTTCTATTACAGCGAATGGGAAGGAGATACAGTAGTTCTGAGGTCCCGCCATCCATCCTTCTGTCGGACGCTTTGCTTTCACTCTACAGGTGTGAACGAGGAAGGGAAATGTCGTTTCGCACGGCTCATTTGTCATAAGATAACTGCGTGGAAGGAGTGAATGGAGTGATGACAGCGTGGCCCCTGCGCTTTTATCCTGTGGGGTCAAATGCTTTAGACTTGCAGAGTTGTGTGGGCAAGGCAAGAGGCTGTTGTGCTCGTGGCTAATGAGGGGTGTGCTCGTACATAAGGAACGACTGGAGTTTATTTCACCATTTTTCAAACTCTTTAATTGTGCAGAATTTATAGACATTCCTAATAGAAGACTCGACATGTAGCACATGTTTTCGTGGGCACAGATGTGAGATATGCAGCCCAGTTAGCCGCACTCGAAAAAAACCCCAGGATGTTTATTCTGATCTATGCGTTGACTTATACTAAAGTTAAGGTTTTGGCTCCACAACAAGTGCGTCTATAGCTTCCAAATGCCCTTGGGGCATCATTAAGACAAACCAAAAAAATAAAAAATAAAACACTGTTGAGCGGGCAGGATCATAAACACATGCTGGATTCATTTTGTGGTCTTTTGCCGAAACATCCTCAGATGCAGCAGGGGAAATAATTGAACCTCAGTATGTGCATTTTTATTTTCCCATCAATCCTTGGAAAATCATTACTTTAAGAAAAAAAAAAGATTCTGAATCCATCATTTGTTGAAGCAAAATATTGTGGTCTCTGTTGCTACTATGTCTGTATCAATCAGAATTAGGGATTAGGTCGGAGCTCTTTGGTTCTGTCCCCACCGCGGTGCCAGCCCAGGGGTTGTGGCAAGTATAAGAAGGGGACTAATTGTCAAGGTTATGTCTCCGTGGATGATTGATGTGAGGCCAGGCTGTTTTTGTCAGCTTGTCAGGTGGCTGGAATGTTTAATGTTCTCATTATTGGTTGCTCTGTTGTGTATATTTCTCTGTCAGCACCGCTGAGCCATCTGAACTGCCAGAGCACTTCAAAGGCCTGCAGGTCATCCGTCTTCTCCCTGACGCTCTGAATGTTCAGCCTCAGCTGAGTGCCGGTGATTTGTTATGACTTGAGAGCCAGCTGACAGACAAGTCTCTTATAAAAAAAATAAAAAAATCCACACAGCCATTTCCCTTTTTGTCGTGCGGTGAAAGCATCACCGCTCCTGTAATGTGGCAGGGCGGTGGGGGCGCCACCACTTTCACAGCAGGCTGGCACCTGACAGTTGTGTCGTTTCACTAATTTGCAGACAGAACGACTCGGGTTGTTTTGTCTTCGTTCCGCCTCGACGTGGAGTTTTGGTTCTGGTGTCGCAGACTTTCACTGGTCACCATCTGTTTGAAAAAGACCGCCAAGGTATCACTTTATTAAGGGACATTTTCATATCCACGATCCATACTTGCCCCGTTATGGCACCAAACAGAGAGCATCATGGGAAGAATGCTGAAGGCTAGGAGGAGAGTGAGAGGTGAGATGCTAAAGACAAGAGCAGGAAAAAACAGAATCCAAATCTCAATTCTTTTCCCAGGCCCTTTGCAAGATTGATTGTTTTCTGCTGATCTAATTTTGGAACGCACCACAACAGTCCATTTGTCTTGAAGAAAAATGACATGCCACATGCTGCAGATGGAATTTTTTTTTTTTGAGGAACTAAAAAAGATTAAAGAGAAACGGTGCTCCTCAGCCCCAATCACGAGCTGTAGATTACTGTGCCGATTTCAGCAGATGGCGGGCTGGATTCTGCAGGCCCTCCTGTATATTAATGAACAGCAGTCTGTTCTATTTGACTTAGGTAAGTGAGATGTCCATCACATGTAATGTTGTGCCAGCTGGCATTATGCGTTTCAGCCCACTTTGGGTCCATATGGCATTCTTCATGACTGGCGTTCTTAGAGGAATACGTTTGCTCTCTGTTTGTCTCCGTCACTGTCACCGCTGTGGGTGTGGACGGGTAAATATGAGCTTCTTTACTCCACCAGGAAGAGAAGCTCTGCAAGTGTGTCCTCGGCTAATTTCCTCCTCATAGGTCAAGGCCATAATTCTGGCACTAAAAGTGTCGCATCGCACGAAGCGCACTATAGTACTTCGATAGTAACTTGATTAAGTTAGCCTGTCCACATGACTGCAAACGTGGCAATACAGTATGTTAACAAAGCTAATAATAGGAAAGGCTAGAGTAAGTGGGGGGGCATCTACTGGCCGCTCAAACCTGCTGACCTACTGCCTCTGTGTAGCTGTGGGCTGTCCATGGTTAGTTAGGATTAAAAGTAGACCATGCAGGAATTTGGCTCAGTGTTTGTAAACATGAAGACATGTGTTCACTCGTGTTACTCCTCCCCTCCTGTAGGGGAAGCTATTAGTCCACTTTGAATACAATAGCTGGTCACCCATGAGAGTGTCCTGTGTGTAGTAGAGGTAGAATAGTATGTACATATAATAGTTTATGGTTCAGTACATGTGCATGTATGGGTATACAGTATATATATGTGCAAATTTTTGTTTCTGTGTTTAATTATAGAAAGAACTGTAAAAATGGTAAATGGTTAAAATAAATGAGTAACAATAGTTATAAATAAAGAAATAATCATTTTATAAAGAGAAATGATCTCTTTACGTAGATAAAAAGCTATTAAGACTACTACTGCTACTTGTACCGTTACTACTACCACTATTACCAGTAATGAAAATATTGCCACAAATAATAAATTTAACATTGGAAAACACAGAATACCAAATATTACTGCAGTGAAGCATCAGTAAAAAAGTACAAATAAGGGATTGAAAACAATAACAATGCTGTGTTGACTGTGTTGGTGCAAAACTATAGTCTATTATAAATCTAATTATCATATATATTATTATATGATAGTCTGGTAGGCTATGCTATGCTATGCTATGCTAAGCCATATTGTGATTACCTCCCCTCCCCAAATCCCTTTGTAGTCTATTGTAAATATTTTTTTGTCTGCTAACTGCTTGTATAAAGAGTTTTGTTTATGACGTTCATAAAGTCTTTGAGTTCTCCGTGCTCCTGAAACTGATTGTTTTTGTCTCCGAATGTCAACCTCAAAGCGCTGCCCCAAAAAACCTAAAGAGACGATGAACACATGTTTGCCAGCCTGAGCCCCCAGAAAACCCATCTATGAATATGCCAAGCCTAATTTTAAACCAGCAGCCGGGGGAACGCTGGCTGTGTTTCCCAACCAGAGCGCACTAACAGCGAGGAAGCACAATGCCAGCGTGTCATACTTTTAAACACTGTTAAATTAAAGGCTGTTTACTGTTCTCCCAGGCCATTCATCTTACTCAACGTTAGTCTGCTCCTTGCAAATTTGTCAGTAAGAGCTTCCACATGCCAAGGCCGGGAGGGGGAAAATGTTGGGGTTATCAGAGGAGGGTTTTCATAGCACGTCCCTTCAGTCAGCCTGTAGTTAATTAGCCACCTCCACACAATAAGGCCATAAGTCATTAATCACCCGGACCCGGGCAGGAGTCGACTCACTGCGAGCAAGATGTTTGGAGACAAAAAGTTTGCTGGCTATGACAGACCTCAGAATGGCCCCTGTCAGTGGTGTGTAAATTATAGGGCATGTTGAGTGCTGAAAGACAAGGGCCCACTGTTTAGCTCACTGTTGCTC